ATGCCTGTGTATGCCTGTGTGTGTGTTCATGTGCCTGTGTGTGTGCCTGTGTGTGTGTATGCCTCTGTGTGTGTGTGTGTGTGTGTGTGTGTGTGTGCCTGGGTGAGAGACAGACTCCCTAATACAGACCCATGTTGAGTGCGATTAGGCTCAGAGGGAAAGGGCAGGGGCAGCTCAGTGCAGCAGGACAGGACCCAAGGCCCCCTGTGGTATGTCCAGGACAGGGCTGCCAGTCTCTGCTCCAAGAGCCTCCTGTTGGCTTCGCCTGCCACTGGACGCCCCACCTGCCACTGGGCGCCCCACCTGCGGGAACCTCTGAGCCTGCTTGCCACCCAGGCCATCCCGATGGCCCAGTCTCAGTCTCACCCTGTGTGCGTCTGAGCCTCACAGCCAGCAGTGAAGCCCTCAAGGGTGGGGTGGGGGTCACATTTGCAGCCATAAGCAGTTGGCCCCCAGTAAATATCCGATGGACTGACTGGCTCTCTGACAGGCCAGCTCGGGACAGTGAGGAGGAGGAGGACGAGGAGAGGCGGGGCCGCGGCTGCACCCTGCAGTACCAGCATGCCATGGTGCGCGTCCTGACACAGTTTGTGGCCGAGGCGGCCAGCCCTGGGGGCCACCTGGCCTACCTGCTGGGCTCAGACTGGCAAGTGGACATCACGGAGCTCATAAGCGGCTTCATGCAGGTGGAGGAGCCCAGGATCGCCAAGCTGCAGGGAGGGCTGGTCCTGGCCGGGCAGGAGCTGGGGATGACCACCATTCAGGTAGGACGTCCCCAGAGGCAAGGGCTTCTGTGTCCCTGCTTCAGCTGTCTGTTGTCCCTCAGAGCAAACTCCATTCCGGGGGTGACCTTAATGACATTGACAAGCAAGGACTCCATGGGTCACACTGGCCTTGGATCTTGGGAAATACTCTCTGGTCTGAGTGGCCCTCCCCTGAGCACCTGCCAGGCCCGCGCTGGCCTCCATCCTCCACCTCCCGACGTCCCTGCCTAAGCTTCATGTTTCTCCATGACATCTTTGCCACCTTGGCCAAGTCCCACCTCTGACCCGATGGCACCTGAACATCCCAGGGGTGTAGGGACAGCAGGGGGCTATCACGCCATTGGCCTGTGAGCAGGTGCCCGCTGCGGGGAATGGGGCACAGAGAGGCCCGCGGGCAATGCTGGTGGTTTAAACAGTGCAGCGTCATGGTTGTGCAGGGTAGTGGGTCCACACTGACAAAATCACACATGCGCACATGGATTCCTGTCCGCCTCCCCTGCCCCGCCCGCCCTTCCTCTCTCCTCTACCCGCTGACTTCCTTGTGCTCCTCTATCTATCTGTTTTCACTGGTGCTTTCCACAGATCCAGGAAGGTGTGACCCCTGTGATACACTTACAAGTGCACATAACATGATTTCGCACCATTTTTCCTCCCCTCCTCTCCTCCCTCCTCCCTCTTCTGCACCGGCCTCCCTGTGGATTTAGGATGTCCGATCCCTCCATGAAGCCATCCTTTATTCGCTCTTTATTTTTAAGTTTATTTTGGGTTTGCAGCATTGGGGATTGAGCCCAGGACCTCGTAGCCCAGTGGAGGAGCACTGGCCTACCAAGTTCTGAGTCCTTGGTTCAAGCCCCAGTGGCTCCGGGGGGTTTGGAAGAAACGCTTGTACAAGTGGCCGGGGCGGGAGGCCATACCGGGAGGCTTCTGCAGGTTTGGTCATTTACCCCCCCAGCTGGGAACAAAGGATGAGTTCATCCCCTAACAGTGCCCCGTGTAGGAGAGGGGAGCACCCCAGGCAATCTGAGGCTTCCAAATCAGTGCTGCCCGGGGATACCCTGGAGCTGCAGCGGTACTGGAACATGGAACATTTGAGACTCAACCACTCTGCAAAATGGACTGGTAAAGAGATCAGTTTATCCAAGGAGGTAATCACAAGGGTTGGTTTCTGAGGGTACAAGACTCTCCCCGGCTCAGTCCTCATGTCACACAGTAGAGTATATGCCTATACCCTGGGGGCACCCTGCCACTCTCTCTGCTATCTCTGGTTCACTCCTAGTCCTTAATGTGGTGCAGATGCTATGGAACTCAGTGCCATTCTGTGTGTAGTTCAGGGAACACAGAGAAGGACGGGTCCTCTCATGTGCAGTTCACACCCAGCTGATCACCGTCGGTTGAATCTGATGCAGAGCTGGGGACGTGGGAGCTGTAGATGGGTTTGGGCTGTGGACTGAGAGTCACATGCACAACGACCTCTAGAAAGTACCATCAGCGAGGGCAGCAGGCCAGGTGTGCTTGTTGAAACAGTGGGGAGCTTAGGGTTGGGCAGACAACAGGGAGCACAGAGGACTGTGGCAGGGGACGTCAGGAGGAGCTGCTGAGCCACCTTTCAATGCAATTTTTCCAGGAACCAGAAATCTCCACTTTTATATAAAACCTTCTGGGTTTAAAAAATAATAATAATGGCCACTAATCCCACCGTCAAGTATGACTTATGTCAGACAGACGTCTTCCCCGTGGCAAGAGCTTCCAACTCCCACCAAAGACAAAGGTCTTGAAAGACCTGAGCATTGATCGCTGATGCCTGGAAATTGGACCAAGAGATCTGTTCTAGAACAAGGCCCTGTGGAAGAGGCCCACCTCCCACTCCTCATTCTCCTGTCCTTCTTCCCACCCTGTGTGGAGCATCCTTGTGCCAGGGGACAAGTCCCTGGGACCACACGAAGCCCTTTCTGACGATGCTGCTTCTGCCCTTTAGATCCTGTCCCCGCTGTCGGATGCCATCCTGGCTGAAAAGACCATCACCGTGCTGGATGAGAAGGTGACCATCACAGACCTGGGGGTGCAGCTGGTAACAGGACTGTCACTGTCCCTGCAGCTCAGCCCTGGGAGCAACAGAGCCATCTTTGCCACCGCGGTGGCTCAGGAACTTTTGCAGAGGCCCAAACAGGTGAGCAGGTGTCAGGCTCCTCTCAGGTCAGATGGGTTTTGCACCAGGTGGACACCTGGCCAAACAGTTCATGTCCACTGTAGGAGGGCTTCCTGGAAGAGGGGGACACACAGCAGGTGGCTGTTCCCCCTGGGTCCCCCCAGCTCCCTCTAACCAAGACAGAAAAGATTTCAGCAGGTGAAACTGAGAGCCACCAGGACACAAAAGCAAACGGGGAGCCCTTGGTCCACCTTCATCACAGTGTCACCTGCTGTCTCACATGCCCATTCCTGCTCTGTCCAAACAGTCATGACTAGACATGTGGGACCTCACCAGCCATGGAGGGACAGGGGCAGGGGCAGCCTTGGGAATCATCACAGTCTGCACCAAGGCCCTGCACAGAGCCAGGCACCAGTTGTGGGGACTGGGAAGGAGACAGGGGTTGTGCCCCCAATTAGTTGTTTAGCTCCAGGAGAAGGGGACAAGCGAGAAGCGCCCTTGATGATTTTCTTCCTTGTGTGATAACAGGGTGTGGGCTGTGTGTTTGTTGTCTGAGTCAACACACCTGTGTGTTTGTGTATGTGTGTCTATGTGTGTCAAGTGTGTTGGGTGTGCTGTGTGTTGTGAAGGCACCTTATGTTTGCATGTGGTTGTGTGTGAACTGAGGGTGTGTGTGGCTATGTGTGCATGCTGATGGTTGTATGTGCCTATGTGTGCGAGCTGAGGGTTGTGTGTGGCTATGTGTGCGAGCTGAGGGTGTGTGTGGCTATGTGTGCTTGCTGAGGGTTGTGTGTGGTTATGTGTGTGAGCTGAGGGTGTGTGTGTCTATGTGTGTATGAGCTGAGGGTTGTGTGTGGCTATGGTGCAGCTGAGGGTGTGTGCGGCTATGTGTGTATGAGCTGAGGGTTGTGTGTGGCTGTGTGTGTGCTGAGGGGTGTGTGTAGCTATGTGTTTGTGAGCTGAGGGTGTGTGGCTGTGTGTGCATGCTGAGGGTGTGTGTGGCTGTGTGTGTGAGCTGAGGGGTGTGTGTGGCTGTGTGTGTGAGCTGAGGGTATGTGTGGCTGTGTGTGTGAGCTGAGGGTTGTGTGTGGCTGTGTGTGTGAGCTGAGGGTTGTGTGTGGCTGTGTGTGTGAGCTGAGGGGTATGTGTGGCTGTGTGTGTGCTGAGGGTGTGTGTGGCTGTGTGTGTGAGCTGAGGGGTGTGTGTGGCCGTGTGTGTGAGCTAAGGGGTATTGTGGCTGTGTGTGCGTGCTGAGGGTTGTGTGTGGCTGTGTGTGTGAGCTGATGGTTGTGTGTGGCTGTGTGTGTGAGCTGAGGGTGTGTAGCTATGTGTGTGAGCTGAGGGGTGTGTGTGGCTGTGTGTGTGTGAGCTGAGGGTATGTGTGGCTGTGTGTGTGTGCTGAGGGTGTGTGTGGCTGTGTGTGTGTGCTGAGGGTTGTGTGTGGCTGTGTGTGTGAGCTGAAGGTGTGTGTGTGGCTGTGTGTGTGAGCTGAGGGGTGTGTATGGCTGTGTGTGTGAGCTGAGGGTTGTGTGTGGCTGTGTATGTGAGCTGAAGGTGTGTGTGTGGCTGTGTGTGTGTGCTGAGGGTTGTGTGTGTGGCTGTGTGTGTGAGCTGAGGATGTGTGTAGCTGTGTGTGTGAGCTGAGGGTTGTGTGTGGCTGTGTGTGTGAGCTGAGGGGTGTGTGTGGCTGTGTGTGTGAGCTGAGGGTGTGTGTGGCTGTGTGTGTGAGCTGAGGGGTGTGTGTGGCTGTGTGTGT